GGCCTGGTGGTACAAATGTTCTTTGTCTCACATCGCCCTAACATGACCTGACTTTGGGACGCAGCGCACTTTGGACAATCAGAAATCAACAGAATGACGAAATTACAAATCGTTATGTATACGGTAGATCGTGACAGGAAAGGAATGTATACATGCTTATCACAGCTGTTCTTTTTTCCCAAATATTAAATGATGCATTTTTAGACAAAACAAAAAAAAAGATACTGTCTATAGCTTACGCGAGTAGTACACATTTAAATAAAACACTTCAACAGTTTAAAACGCGATATATTAGTTAAACTTATTTGAAAATGATTTTTAACTTCGGCCCGACGTTTCGACAGTCTCCCCGTGACCACGGCTGCTACAAAGAATCCGAAACGTCGGGCCGAAGTTAAAAATCATTTTCAAATAAGTTTAACTAATATATCGCGTTTTAAACCGTTAAAGTGTTTTATTAAAAAAAAAGATGTTGACACTGGTGCAAAATTGAACCCGCGTCCCAATCATTAAACCAATGAATCCATTGAAATAAAGAAATAATAAGTGTCTAACAAATAAATCAACGTTCAAGCTCTTGTTAATCATAATTACTAACAAGACTACACTCCGCTATTGAACAAGATATAACAGATTTTAATTATCTTGGCTAGTCTATTTAGTGGTTCAACTTTCCATAAACTTTAATTGAGTCCAATCGCTTCGGATTTCTGATATAATTTATCTTCTGCAGCTACCGCCATTTTGGCATAAACTGTTCAGTTGTTAGCTGCTTCGTCCCGATTTTATTCATAAACTTATGCTGAAATTAATTAACTTTTGTTGAACATTCTCGATAATTTTGTTGTGCCTCCGTCAAACAGATAAGGGATATTAATGTTATAATTTGTTTCACTTGATGAAGGGATGAATTTATCGTGCCGTTTTATACATTGCTTACCGTGCCTTACATTGTTTATTTAGGTATTTTTTGGGAACAGTAATACAATTTTTTTGTATTAAAATGTAAAATCGAGTTTGTGGAACATAAGATACTTACTTCTGCCCTCTTGGACCTATACATACCTATATTTCGCCTAAACTAGGACCTAACTCAGACAGGTTGTCAATCATAAGTGGTAACAGTAGAATTGAAGATAAATAAGTAAAAACTATATTTTAAATTAAAAATATTAATACTGGTCAAAAATTAAGTTCTAAATTGCAATAACAAAGTTATTGTTGTTTTGAGAATTTTACTTAATTTTCAATAATTGACTTCGTTATAATCACAGAAAATGTGAAAAAATAAGTGCGAAGAGTAAAACGTCAGAAAAGAAATGACTTTATACAAAGGGGTGTTGTCGACACGAACTAAGCGATCCCTTTTTGTACATACAACCTCGCTTGTTTGTGGTTCAGGTCACAAAAACTATTCATAGAACTCCAACAATGTTTTAGAATTCTTTCTAGACGGTTTTAATGAAGTAAATTTATTTCAAATAATTCTATATTTATTTCGTTAAAACTTTTGTCAAATGGAAAATTAAATACTTATTAAAATAAATCCGTTTTCGTCGAACGCGCCAAATTATAATCACATCACGTGCAAGTTGCCAGACAAGGTTTTGGCTTCTAATCTAGTTTTAGGTGAAACAGTAAACTAAGGAATCTTTGTTACCAGCTTGAAGATCGGAATTAGGAGGTGTCTTCACTCCCGTGTCTCAGAGAGGACACAAACGTTTCTAAGGCCCACCAGCCCACTATGGAGCAATATTGTGTAATGTAAAAATTTGTAATCTTCCCTCACTCGTGAAAAGAGTGCCTAGCTGTAGGACGTTAAGGCGTAGGAGAGAATAAATTTAACGAAAATCGATAATAAATTTTCCAAGTGAAAGCCGCTAACATAAAATATGTAAAAATAAAAGTACAACGAAAAGGAAAAATGGAAACGTTCAACATTTTCTTCATTACCAAGTAAAGAGTCAGTTGGTTAGCACTTATTAAAATTTTTGCTTAGATCAAAGGGAGAATTTTAATGAATGGTAGAAAACTTTTGTTAATTATCACTGGTTATTTGAATACAAGTAGAAATTCGAGGCTTTTGTGAGTCTACAAGAGATTCTTTTTATCTCGAAATTTATTAAGCCTTTCAAAATATAGCAATAATAAATTTAATTTAATCTCCATTGGTTTTTGTGTGATCTTCGAAACGGTTTTCTGTGAAGTTTTCTCAACCCTTATGAACTATATAATTTAATTTTATTAGGTATTTTATGTAATATTTACTGAATTTGAACAAACGAAATAATATGGAAAATGGAGAGAAGGTCAACCATTTTTAAAACATAAATATTTTAGTTCGCTAATTATAAAGCCAGATTGTTTTCGTAAATAATGTATTATATATTGTTGTACACGTAATTATAGTCCATAAAAGTTGACCAGAAACAATGACACAAAATGTGCCACAGGACCCAATTGAGAACTGGAATGACTTGCAAGCAAACTATTATGTGCCACATAAAATTGAACTTAAAGGAAAATTAAATTAAATGATCCAAACTAAAATTATGTATTTATTACTTCAAGAAACAATTTATAGTAAGAAATGATAGTATATGAGTATAACATAGAGATGCATCTTATAATTGTTTCACAGATATTGTATGTGTAAAATATAAAATAATATATTTAAACAGTTTGGACAATTGAGAAAAATAATAAGCACTTATTACTTGCTAGTAAAACTTCTCATATTGATTTTTTAGATTATGTAATGAAGAATAATTTTTTCACAATTATTTTTTGTGTGTTTTTACCCGCATGTTTCTACGTTTCCCTCTGTTTCTTCAAATTAATAAATAAACTCTTTATAATGTTACAAAAAAGCATTATAACATTAGATAGATAAATTGAAATAATATGAATAAATAAAATTTTAATCGGCCAGTAAATTACCCAATCAATTTAAAAGTTTTGTTGAAACCATGTCCATGTTTGCATCAACAGTAACAAACATCAATTCAGAGGTGGTAGTGGTTCAAATCAAACAACCAATATGCACTATAGCAGTGTTTATTTTGGGCTTTTAACTCGCTTCTATTACGGAGAGCTGTGTCCAGAATTAAAAGGTTTATTGAATCCTGCTTTAGAAACTCAGTCGCAGTACACAATTACAACGTTTGTCAATTCGATAATGGATCAGTTTGCAATGGCTGGTCGATTAAACGACGCGTCGTAGTAGAATGCAATCTATACTAATATATAAAGCTGAAGGGTTTGTTTGTATGTTTGTTGAACACACTAAACTCAGGAACTACGGGTTTGAATTTAAAAATATATTGGTTTGCGTTGTGAGTATTTATCCAGGAGGGCTATAGACTATAAAAATCGCCCTGTGACTAATAAAAAGATATAGCCAGAAATATGAAAGAAAAATGGTAACATTATTCATCATTTCGTGGCGTGGCGCTGCAAAAACGGTTATAGATACTCAAAAAATATGTATTTCATCTTAAATGATCTAAAAAAAGTCCGCGACGTTATAAGTCTATCTTTTAAGATTAATTTGCAAGAACGACGGGAAAGGACGCGACCGTCGTGGATAACAGCATAAGCTTATAACGAATTTGCATTCCCAAAATAACGATTCTCGCGGACGAAGTCGCTGACACAGCTAGTTTTAAATGATTGTGGTCGACGCGTGCCCCCATTGTGCGAGTACGATTTGCAGTGGTATTCGGCAAAGCGATAGTAACGAACGTTGTCCATTCATTTCGCCTTTCCATTAAAAGGGTTTTATCCGCGGCTAATTTATGCACCACTTCTAGAGACAGATTACAGAGCACGGCTTGGGTACGAATGATCGAACGATTGTTTTTGTCGAGTGTAGAATTGGGGTAGCTTCGTTGGTCTAGTGTAGTGTTCCCCAATTAGTGCTACGTATCCCTCAAAGTTAAAGTTAAGTCAAAGTAAAGTTGCATCAAAGGGACACGACAAGGACAATTTACTCAATAGTTTTTTATTACGATAACCATCGTAAAAGTGGAGCACTAAGCTAAGAACCGTCTAGTGGTAAATGCAATCGACTACAGTCCATGACGTCCTGGGTTTGAATCCTGGGTCGGGCGAAATGAAACTTTGGCATGGAAGTAGTACCGACCCGTATAATGGATCGACAGCGTATCTTGTTTGGATGTTTTATGACCGGATATTTCACCTATCATCAAACGAACCCTTTTCTTGCCCACGAGATAAGAAAAAAAATTTAAAACTCAGTGGAAACCAAAAAAAAATTCTTATTAGCTAAGTCCCGCGACTTTGTACGCGTAGAACATTTATTTTTGATATCAATTTTTATTTTTCCTTGTCCCACTCTATATATCCTATAGGCTTCCCCAATAAATGCTCTAAAACAAAAATAATTTTTGAATTCGAACGAGTAGTTCCTGAGATTAGCGCGACAAAACAAACAAACTCTTCAGTTTTATATATTAGCATAGATTAGCCATTATTTTAAGTGATTAAAAATAAAGGGGGCTAAGTTTTATTTAAAAGTGGGCTAGTTAAGTTATTTACATATTCATCATTGCCACATCGTGGTCGAACAAGTGGTCATCTAAACTAGAACCTCAGCTATATCATCGGGAAGGTAGTTTAACAATTAACAGCAGTTTATAAAGCATTAGCTGTTGCAGCGACTTCGTCCGCTATGAATGTTTATTTTGGGAATCCAAATTCGTTTTACAAATGCCCTTTATCTTTATAAACTTAAGCTGTTACCCACGACGTCGGTCGCGTCTCTTCCCGTCATTCTTGCAAGTTACTCTTAAAAAAATAGACATATAGCGTCATGAACATGCTTTTAGATCATTTAAAGACAAATAAATCATTCTTTCACACATATTTTTTCGGTATCTTGAACCGTTTATGCAGTTCAAACGTTAGCGTATTCTCGATTTTTTCGTTTGTTAATACATGATATTATGAAAACACACTGAATACTAAATAACCTTTAATTAATCTTTAATTACAGGCGTCAATAATGAAGCACAATCATTTAAATTACGATGTTTGATAATACACGCGTAGTAAACACCAGAAGATCGCATCGTTTCGCGTTGGTTCGGATCGTTGAAGTCGATGTCGTAGAGGCCGAATTTTGATCTGTAAATAGCATTTGAATAAAGATAGTATTGTAATCTTAATTTTTAAATACTGTCTATAGTTTACGCGAGTAGTACACATTTAAATAAAACACTTTAACGGTTTAAAACGCGATATATTAGTTAAACTTATTTGAAAATGCTCTTCAACTTCGGCACGACATTTCGGATGCTGCAAAGCATTTAACTAATATATCGCGTTTTAAACCGTTAAAGTGTTTTATTTAAATGTATACTACTTGCATAAATTATAGATAGTATTTAACTTTAATAGTTTAGAACATGTTTGCGTACCTGTTTCGTAAGGATTATTAAATAAAAAAAATATATTTAAAAATTATTTTAACTACGGCCAGGCGTTATGGATACTGTGCATTGTATAATGTATTTTGCAAAGCTATTTTTGAGCTGTCTGGCCATCTTAATTGAGAGAAAAAGAAAGAGTGTGTTCTCGAAACCTATGAATCTTCTCTAGTCTTAGCCCAATATTGTTAACTCCAATTGGGAGAGGACGGCGAGAACTAATTCTCAATTATAACAGTCGAACATAGACAAAGGGAAAAATTTATCGACGGCGCATCTTGTCTAGAAGTTATAGGGCCGGTATTTTATTTATTAATTTATGAACATCGTGGAAGTTTAATGGAGAGTTTATACATTTATGTAGGAGTAATTTATAATAAAATATTTACGTATATCCCGATTTCCACTCAAACGTATCCATTAATGCCCAAACTGAGTAGCCAAGCACATTATGGTGGTCTTCATGTATGACCAACGAAACCTGAAATAGTATCACAAGTAAAAAAAAGGTGACAAATCACTTAGGTGTTTGCTTTGTTTTAATAATAAGTTTATTATTTTCATTGCGTGCTGTTTTCCAGATGTTTCTGCCAAGGCCACTAACAATCAGTTTTGTGTCGATTTTGTTCAAACGTCCCGAGTTTAGGAATAAAAATGTTATTCAAGAACAGCCGAAAAGTCAACATTAAGAATTAGTTACCTGCTCCAAATATGATTCAAGATAGTTAATTCTTCCGCTATCTTCCAGGGATCTATTTCCATTGGAAAACCCGTTTTCTGTGATCAATATGTCCCAGTCACCATAATTCGTTCTAGTCCAGTTTATTATGTGGCGTAAACCACGACTATCTTCCTATGAAGTACGATCAAAGTATTATCATAAAATTCACGTATTTCCGCCATACTACAAATAAAGTCTAAATAAAAACAATTAGGTGAGCTTTCATAAAAAAAAATGTGTATTACTACCTAGTCTTAGGGGTTGAGCTCGGAATGTAAGATAATTTATAATGGAGATACCATGTATCCTGAATCACGCTGCGATCTATAGGAGCAAAAAGTTGTGGAAAATTTACGTTAAATGGAGGAATAGCCACCGTTGCGTGCGCTAAAAGATTAGTTTCTCAATATATTTATCATATAATTATATTTATCAATACTTAATAAAATAATAAGTACTTATTATTGAGCACGTTAAGCTGTTGGTAAAACCTTTAAAGCCCGCGCTGAATAAGCGCGGTGGGTCTTATAGAATCCTCCCGTGTGAGTCCGAAACCTGCGTCCAGCTGTGGGACATTAAAAGATTGAAACTCCACGTCACGTTTTTACAATTTCCTTTTATAAGTTTCATATTAAGAAATTACGGTACATCTATTTTTAGTTTTTACATTTTGTTAAGTAACAATTATTTTTTTAAATATAGAGGACGGTAGACAAGGATGTAGTTCGATTGGTGATAGTTGAAATAGCCCAGCCTTATAACAGCTAATGAAGATGAGCTGTCGACCTTTTTTTGTTTTATTTCGGTAGCTTTAGATTTTAAGAAAACCACAGATTAAGCCGAAACGCGATAAAACTTCACGGCTTTTTCATCTGTGATTGTGGTTGAACCAGACGGAATTTCGATATTTCTACCACCGATTTAATATTCAGACAAAGTTCAACATGTCTCAGAAAAATTATAAGTTGGAAACATGTTGGATCTGGTGGGGATCTAACCTTTGATTATTAGCCACGCGATGCGACTATACCGTCAAAATCGACATATATCTACAAGACAATCTAGAATATTATTAGAATACCTACACTGTATATTCAGATTTGTGATATATCTGAATGTGCTGCTAAAGATTACAGGATTTCAGGGAGAAATGGAAAAAATCTGAAATTGGAATTGCGATCAAGGCTGTCAAAAGCGATCCACTCGTTCTCTTAAATCGGAAAATTTCTCCGGCATCTTTGTTGTGGGATTTCTCTAGGTTTTGTATGCAAAGTATTTACAACAGCGGAGAATTTATTTCACGTGCGAACGTACGTCGCGTTCGCTATCCGTTCAACCTGTACTAATATTATAAAGCTGAAGAGTTTGAGCGCGCTAATCTCAGGAAATACTGGTTCGAATTGAAAAATCTTTTTGCATTAAATAGACCATTTATCGAGAAAAAACATCATGCTACAAGCGAAGAAACAGTGGAAAGGAAGTAAGTGGGAGGAAGTGCAAATCGGTTCGAGAAAAGAACAAATACGTATGATAAAATTATTTCTATTTTAATGATCTAAAAACATATCCGCAACATTAAATGTCTATCTTTTTAAATTAGCTCTCAAGAGCAACAAAACACGGACGACGTAAAAGCTATAATTTATAAACATGACCAGGGTCTGCAAACATAAATTTTGATACCGAAAGTGACTATTCAACGCGGACGACGTCGCTGGCACAGTTAGAGTATGATAGAATGATTCCTCTTTACATGATCTAAAAACGTGTCTTCGACAGTATTCGTAGGACGCGGACGACGTAGCTATAATTTATAAAGTTGAGATAAATCTATACTAATATATAAAGCTGAAGAGTTTGTTTGTTTGAACGCGCTAATGTCAGGAAGTACGGGTTCGAATTGAAAAATTATTTTTGTGTTGGTTAGAACCTTTATCGAGGAAGGTTATAACAATTTGCGATGTGACTAATAGGAGCGAAGATACAGCGAGAAATGTGAACAAAACGGGGGAAATTCTTCATCTCTGTAGGTTTCAGATGCGTATGCTGCGAAAATGGTTCAAGATATCTAAAAATTGTGTATGAAAGAATGATTTCCCTTTAAATGATCTACTATCTTTTAAGATTAACTTGCAAGAACGACCCGAACGACGGGACGCGTACTACGGGATACGAATATCGTGGGTAACCGCTATCTACACTATTATTATGAAGAACAAAGGTTTGTATTTTTTTATGTAACGGATAAACTCAAAAAGTACTGGACCGATTTTAATAATTATTTTTTCATTAGACAACTACATTATCACTGAGTAACATAGGCTATATTTAATACTCGATTACTATAGAATTCTTTAGAAATTTATATTAAAGCAACGGGAGGTGTAAAAAAATTAGCCATAAAATGTATTTTGGCGCATACGCTGCGAAAAGATTAACAACGTTCGACGATATTATAGAATATACAAAAATCATCGCGTGACCATATGTCTAACTATTGTAGTGATGTCACTATAACTACTTTGTTACTTTTAACAATTTGATAGAAAAGAGCCGAACAAAAACAAACCGTGTTATTTATACCATTTATAAATTTTTATTTAAATAAATTATAGATTTTAATAATATTTTAAATGGGAAAGCAACTCTGTTTGTCTGTCCGGCTTTAACTCCGAAACTACTGAACTGAATTAAGTGAAATTTGGTACATAGATATTTTAGAGCATGAGAAGGGTTGATAAGGGTTGAAACTTTGTATGCAATATCGTGGTCTTTGAAGCTAGAACAATGAAACTTTCTTCTTTGGCTTTTTGGGAATAGGAGTGAGAGTGAGTGTAGGAATGAGAGTGGGAGTTAAAGTAGGAGTGATGTGAGGTGAGAGTGTTGCGGCAAAGATGCACTTACAACATAGATTGGCTGCCTTAAATGCGTCCCTACATAAATTAATAAACAGCCTGAATAATTAAAAATTCTACCCCAAGTCACTATTTCACGCGGACGAAGTCGCGGGCACAGCTAGTAATTTATATAGAGACTATTCCAAGCGGACGTAGTCGCGGGCACAGCGAGTACGTAATAAAGAGACAACAGCGAAAATAATTACGCGCACGTTATCCGCGCTTCGATCTGTCATATCGCGAATAATTACACGTCTCCCTCGCACAATAGGCGGTCTTCCTCCCACCACCTGATTGATGGCTCCGGAGATTGCATGTCAGGATTACATCTGCGGAGGATGTACGGATTATTTAGTAGCTGCTGGAGGGTAAATAGAAGCAAGATGCTCGAAAAAACTTATACCGACCGAGCCCTGGCTCGTCGTCGCGACAAGCATAATCTAGTTTTAGTGTAACGCGGTGATTTCCTTATCCGTTGCGAGGATGAAAACAAGTAAATAATACGTATTTAGAGCGAACAAGTTGGGGAGTTCGTTTGTTTTTTGGGGAGATGTTTTGCATATCTTTGTAATAAGTATTAATATACGCTATAAGTACAAAAATGTTTTGTATATTTGATTATGATTACGTAGTATTTGGCGTATTTTCCGTTTAGTATTGACAATAAAATCTTATTGATTTATTTTTAAATTTTGATGTGTAGAAGATACATCAATAAATAAAAACTCGTTTATGTTTTGGTTTCAAATCTGACAATACATGTTAAAAAACAATACGATGTATTAAAAAATAATTACAAGTCGGAACATGAGCGTAGCTATGAGAAAAAGGGACTTTGAGGCAACGGTATTACAGAGAAACGACATATTACATCCGTCACGAGTTCGAATCCCGTATCTCTAAGTCCGTTTCATTTGTATGAGATCCCAAAAAATTTTTTTTTGCCTGTAATTTACGCTAATAGTAGAAATTTAAATACAACACTTTTAACGGTTTAAAACGCGAATAATTTTTAATATTAGATATTTTTTAACTACGATTCGATATCAAATATAAGTGTAATTAATATTTTTCGTGTTTAAAACCGTTAAAAGTGTTGTATTTAAATTTAATGACATTGAAATTAATATGTTTAATTCAATCTAAATGTATATATACATATCCTCTTCAAAACCTTTGTGTAGTACATACATGTACGCATGAAACATGGATAAAATACATTTACCGAGAAGCGACAAGAAAAGCTCGGTTATGAATTGTGTCACAATTAAATTACTCTGCAGAATTTTCTCAAACAATAAATAAACGGTGATGTTTTCACCGGAAAGACTTTCGCGGTTCCAAATGCACGACAACTGTGGCTATTATACAATGCAATGCGATCGTCAAATATTTTAAACTCATCCAAGTGTAGCTTAATTTGTTTTATTCCTTTTAACTATAACTATTTGTCATTAAAAATAAAACATTTTTAATGGTTTAAAAACAGAACATTTTTAATGGTTTAAAACCCGAAATGTATTAGTTACCTTATCTTCAATTCATTTTAACTTAGCCCGATGCCTCGTATTCTGCAGCCGTGGTTTCGGGGCACTACTTAGTAGAAGATAATTTACTTATTTTTAAGTGACAAACATAATTAAAATATCGACTTTTAATATTAGTGAGATCCCATTACCCCCATGGGGAGAGAAGGGGGGAGAACACATTTCGGTGTCCGTTTCACTGATGTGTTATATTACATGCAAGTAATTGATCTGACTTCTGTGCCCTGCCCGATACATTGCTTAAACAATTTATTGTTTCCCCAGGTTTCAAACCCTGTACGCTTAAATATTTAAAACTACGCAACGGATTTTAATGCGGTTTTTATAGGTAGAGGAAGGTTTTTATATACAACGTTCATGTTTTTTCTGTAGTGTAAGGGAGGGGTGGGTCGCTAGTACACTATAAATTACAGAACGCCGCTTTGTAATATTAATTTGTTTTTATCTTTTTTTTGGTTGTCTAATAAATAGTAAAGATACAAATAAAAATTAGAGATAGCATTTTATTTAAATTCATGTATATGTTTGTTCCATAACTTACCCGAAACTATATTGTTTAACATAATATATCGTTCCACCGCGACGTAATATATGAGTTATTCGTGTAATCTTGAGAATAAAAGTTTTAAATCATATCAGAATCCAGAAAGCGCAGCTGGTATATAAATAATACTTGTAGGGGTAGTTGACACGTGAATAATTCCACCATTCTTTATCTTGTTATAGAGTTACATCTTCTTTGCTGATATTGTTCCCTTCTTAATAGATCTTATACCAAATTAGACCATCTCTGTTTTTAATGTTTAACTGACCGCCCGTTATTAATATTACCCTGACTTAAATTGCCAGTTACATAACTCTTATTTTTGAAAACTTAAAATCGATTATAAATGGAAAAAAAAATTAAGGCTAGGGCAGGGTTGAAATTACATATGCGAGGTGCATGTTAAAAAAAAATCGAGGATGACGTATAGGACTCGGTAACTCAATAGAACAAGGAACGCTATGGATGCCGGTTCATGCCCTGCCCGAGTCGTTTTTTAAATTTTAATCGACTTTTAATTCAAGGACATATTGTAAATAATATGTCATATCTCATACACGCGATAGATGTGAGGAAGTATTATAATTTTATACATAAGTTTATCGTAGCAACCCGCACAAGATAAACTTACCCTAATGGCAATATTAATCATTTCCCTGTGCTTAACGTACAAAGTCAATGTTCTGTGCATAATGCGAGAAGCTCTGCCAAAATTCTCATACCTCACTTAATTGCCCTTAAAAATATTAGGTAGTGGGTAAATTATTATTTAAAACCTTAATATTGATTTTAAACAACGCTGAATCTTAAACTGGAATTTATAAGCCAATTTCACGGAGACTTAATGATTAAACTAACCGGTAAACATTTTTGAGTTATCAATAATTTTATATCGACACTAGCTGAGTCAGCGATTTCGTACGCGTAGAATAGTTATTTTGGGTATCAATTTTTGTTTTTGCAAACCTCGTATTCAACTCTATAAATTTAAGCGGTTACCCACGACGTTGTCCGCGTGCCGTCGTTCTTGCAAGTTTATCTTACAAGATGGACTATACTCTCGCGGACGTTTTTTTTTATCATTTAAAGAGGAATTTATTTATCGGTCTGCCAGCGTTAAATTACATTCATAAATTTATAATATAGACATTCATAGAGTAGGTGACAAATGCATTTAACAATTATTGGCAAACACATCATTCGCCAAAAGACAAGACAAATTAAATTTAACTAAAAAACTAAAACATAATTATGTAATTAAAAAGGAAGAGCAAAAGAATTATTACTTAAATAAAGCTACAAAGAAATGGAGATTAGGTTTTTTGCCTGGGTTGGAAGCTTGTGAGGGGAATAAAAATGTATGTCAATGTCAACATAACAACGAACAGGTGAATTTGACCAAAAAATACTGTTTTGCGAAAAGGAGGAAGAAATGGTGTTTTAGTATCCCGTGGAAGTTTAATAGGAACCGGAATATTGAAGGATTGTAAAAGAGCAGGGCTGTCTATTTTGTTATCGTGTATTTACTAGATACTAATAATAAACCTATTAACTCCCTACGGGTTTCAAGAGATGAAATAATCAAATGATCAAGGATTCACTGGACATCTCGGCCGAAAACACTAGGTGCCATAGAAATCGCTTTTGAATGAAAGGAAACCGAAACGCTATTGAAGTGATAATAGCGTTTCGGTTTCATTCTTTAGATTAAGGAATATTTAACGCTAAAAAAGGTCGACAGTCCATCTTGTTTAGATATTATACGGCTAGAGTTACCATCAAGAGAACCTCGTGCGTGTCCTCCTTTATCAAAACCACAATCTTGGTCGAGAGAGCCAATGCAACGAACTATTGAGCAAAAGGCGGTCGTAATATAATCAAATACGTACAGAATAAGGGCTCCAAAGGGTCCAAAAAAAGCAAAGGTGCTTCTCAAGGGCCTCTCCCATTTAATAAACATACCCGAGCCAAAGTAAATAGAGGAGTTACCGATCACTCGCCAGGACGCATCTGGTGCTTGTTGGATTATGTTGGTGAAATTCAATAATCTTTACTGTACCATCTGGCTGGGTGGCGATTGTAACTTTTTTTGATAGTAAAACTTCGTGAGTTGAACGATCAACTTCGTGTGGCCACTGCGTAATTTACTTAGCTTGTGTTATGTTGGACACAATATTTCGTTATATAAAAATAATAATAGCTGCTGTATGTTACATTATAATCCAAAAAAGATATTTAATTGAAAACTTTTTTAAATGCTCACCAGTGCCACATATTTCGTTGTTGACTTAGGTACATTTTTCATATTCCTCCCATGACCACGGCTGCTGCAGAGCATTCAAAATCGTTCAAGTCGTAGTTAAAATCAAAGATTATTTAACTTATATGTTTCTTGTTATTTTTGAAATTTAAAAATGTGCTAAAATAATATTGAATAGACAGTCATGTTTAACGTTAATATTTTTCACTGTATGGCATCTGCAATGTATATTCATCTGAATATACATTAAAATCAATTATAGATTGAAAAAAAATTTTTTCCGCCGCAGGACTTGAACCGGCATCGTCAGCTTTCCATGCTGTTGCTTTAACCAATTGAGCTACCGAGTCCTACACGTCAAGTTCTCTCTAGTTCAATTTAAAGTCCGGCCCTAGTCAATTTTTATCAATATATTATCGATTTTTAATTTATATAGATATATAGAATATAGAATAGTAAAATAAACGAAAAATTATGATTTTGACGATGTTTATTAAGTTGTTTTTCTTATAAAATGCTTACAATTAAAAGTTAGTGAAGCGTTTTTCCTCTTGCTGGCAAGAACACTTCGCAAAATAACCAGTTCAGCAGTAAGGGAGTGCGGCGACTTTCAAAGTGCTATCGCTTGAGAGCCATTTTCCCAACTGCTATTATAAACTACTTATCTATTGCATTTCCTATCTCGTTTACTCTTCGAATTGGAGCACTCTCCCAGAAACTTCACGTGCGAATATTCGGAAGTTTGAAGCTAAGATAGGAAAGTATTACTGCAGTTATTTGAATTCTCCTTAATTTGCCTTTTCCTTCTTTTTTCAACTCAATTTTTTTATTGCGGTTGCATGAGGAATTGATGTTAGGTGAAATAACACTATAACATCTCGACAAAATGCGCCGTCGACCTTTTTTGGCGTTGAATATTCAGAATTCCAATTCAAACCGAAACGAGATTAAATTTCTTTACCACTTGACGGTGGTTCGTGATCTGGACGACTGAGTAACGAATACCGAGTTTTACGCGCCTCAATTTTTTTTCAACCGAGTAACTTGGTTCAATCAAATCCCCATTTCGCGCACGTAAACAAGTAC